TTTCTTAAGTTTTGGAGTCTGGCCGTATAGTTTCACAAAAGTTGTTTTTTTGATTTCCCTACGAAAAAGTTTGTGTTTTTTCGGCCCAAAGCCATATTTTTGCTAGGAAAAGATTGGGTTTTTGGCCCAAAACCAGGTGGAGTCTGGCCGTATAGTTTACCAAAATTTCTTTTTTTGTTTATTTTTGTTGCTTTTTCCCTAGGAAAGAGTTGGTTTTTTTATTGGAAGAGACAGTGTTGCCGTTAAGTGCGTGCTCACGTCGAACCTAGACGAGTTGCTTGGCGGTTGGTTTTTGCTTCGAAGAGTACAGTGTTGCTGTTAAGTGCGTGCTCACGTCGAACCTGAACGAGCTGCCTGGCGTGTTCTCTTGAAACATGAGTTTGGTTTTGGCAGTCTTTCAGAGATACAGATTCCGGACCTGCCGGCAACCGGTAGTTCATGGGGGGTAGCGGTAGACGCCGACATGTGTATACATCTATACAGATTTAAATGTTAAATGCAGATATAGATATAGATAATATGATATATTGCATAGTACATACTATATACTGAGATTCGTGTTCACTTTTATCTCATTAGCATTCAACATATCGTCGAGTTTTAGGTTGCTTCTATATCTATTCCACCACATACTGTGTATATGTATACATGTATAAACAGGCACACATATACACGTATATACATACACACATACCTACACACATGCATGCATGCAGCCAGCCAGCCAGCCATCCATCCATCAATCGTTCCGTACATACATGCATACATACATACGTACGTACGTGCGTACGTACGTACATACATACAACCATATGTGTATGTACGAAATGTACATACAGATATTTGCAGTTGGGTGGATGGATGGGTGGGTGGGTCGGTGGATGGATGGATGGCTAGATTGATAGATGGATAGACATAGATAGGTAGATAGGTAGGTAAGTAGGTAGATAGATAGATAGATAGGTAGATGGATAAGTACATAGATAGCTTGGTAATATAGATAGATAGATAGATAGATAGATGGACAGACAGATAGATGGATAGATAGATAGAGAAGCGAGACAGAGAGAGCCAGCTTTGCCAGCTTGGCGGAGGCGTTTGGCGAGAATATCTCGCACGGTGGAGGGGAGAAGATGCTCGAACGAGTGTTCAAGTCCGGAGTTCAGATTTCCTCATAGAATAGAAGGGCGCTTTCCGCAGAAAAGCTTCTCCCGAAGTGTGAGCCGAAGGCCTGTAGTCAAATTTGGCAGAAATAGATGGCGTTTAGCTCAGGAAATTGGCGACGGCGACCCTCACAGCGGCTCGAAAGGCAAGTTTGTCTGCTGATTTTGTACATTGGTTCTTGGGATCGTTTGCCTTGAACTTGACCACTGCCTTTCTCGTGGCCTTGGCGACCTCATTCAAGCACACCCCCTTGCGGTCCTTGCGCCTCGCTGACGTCCCAGTGCGATGTCAACCCCGAAACACATGCAATTGGTTAGAGCTTTTGTCATTCCTTGACACTGCTGTGCCGATGTGTTCAGATTCTATGGACGCTGTGGACCCCGAGGCGGACGGGCCAATGGCATAATTCAGTAATTCACTCGGTGTCTAGTGTTATTAGTGTTATCGCCGTCATTCCAGCAGTGCAAACTAGCAGCAGCACCAGGAGTAGGATTGGTACAGTGCCTAGGTACTACTACGACGACGACTACCACTCTACTACCGCCGCCATTACCAGTACTGCTGCCACTGCCGCTGCCCTTCAGCTAACCCCGCTACCGCTACCGCTAGTGCTACCGCTGCCGCTGCCACTACCACTGATACAAATGTTAGTGCTACTACTCTTGCTGCTACTGCTGCTGCTGCTGCTACTACTACTACTACTTCTTCTGGTCGTGCGGCTGCTAGTACTGCTGGCATCTCTTCGAGTGCCCTCCAGGGAACTGCTACCTTTTCCAAAAGAATGAGCAAACCCCTACAGGGGCGGCAGTAGGAGTAGCTAGCAGCACTACTGGCAGCAGCAGTGCAGCGGCAGTCACAGCAGCAGCAGAACCAGCAGTACTATCCGTACCAGCAGTACTATCCGTACCGAGACGAAGTGACTGTGGCGAACTTGGTTGATTTAGCCTGGCACGTCCGAGAAGCTCGTTCATCCACCGAACACCTCTGCCTGCACTTTAGGCCGATTGTCTCCCAACTTTCTGTCTGATCGCACGGAGGCTTCGTTGACCCCAGCTTCCATGGCCCGCAGTACAGCCATGGCCTGAGATGGACGCCATGAATGCAAACAGGATTCTGTCTGCGCACGGATCGAGTCGAACCGGGATATGGCATTGCAGAAGGCATAGTTGCATCTGATTGACTTGACACACACACACAGATTCGTAACATCCTGCCGTCACCTGGTAGGAGCCCTGCTTCTGAAGTCGCACGGCGCTGGAAGAGGGTTGAAGCAGTTGACACGGTTATGTCACTTCAGGATCGTGTCGAACGTACCAGCAGATGTTATGATTGTGAGCGAACGGTGAACATGAGAGACGATACCGGCACAGCAATGCAAGCAGCCACTATACGGCATGCCCCATTGGCAAGCACCAGGAACCCGAAGAAGCTCCCGGAAGCTCTGTGCCTGTATCCGGGCAGTGCCCAGGCCTCTTTGACGCCCTCGGCACCCAGCCGCCGCGACTCGCGCGCTTCGCCCCCTGGCCAAAACGGAAAGCTTCGAGCGATGTTTAGGGCATCCGTTTCGAGAAAACTTCCCCGGACGTTCCTCGAAGTGCTAGCATATCGAGCACGACAGCTGGACAGCGGCTCCGCTAGAAGGGTCCAGAAGGTTGCATGAGTTCTGGAGGAATCTGAAGGATGCACGCTCTCCGAGCCCTGTTTGGAAACTGTCGGCTGTTACTTGCGGAGTGGGGGTTGTCATGCGTCGAACACGAAGCATGAACCTCTCGGAAGAAACGAGCTTGCTGCAATCTTCCATCGAAGCTCCGGGGACACTGGTAGGTAAAGAGGTCTTCAGCCACAAAAGGCTTGCATCTTGCTTGGCGTTGAGGTTGGGCAGCCAGATGAGCCGTCGAAGCTTGGAATCTGGTGCTTCCCGGATACGGTTTAACTGCTCGAGACTATGAGTGTGGCTCTTGTATTCATGTTGGAATTGTCTGGACCATCCACGACCAACTAGCTGCTACACCGCGCCTCTTCGTAGTGTTCCCAATTATGGCCATGATTGTATTCGGCACGCAACAGGCGCATCTGCATCCTCTGCCGGCAAGAAGAAGAAGGGTGCGCGCCTCGTGGTGGAGATGATGCGGATTTGGAGTCTATTCTTGTACTCATTATCTTGGTATATCTAGGTGTGGACTTCTAGCATTCTGTTGCAGCTGATCTTTCGCACAGACACTTCCGCAAAGACGAGCCTTACTTCCGGTGTTGCGGCGTCTTGGAGTCGAATTGCACCTCAGCTCTTCGTGGAGGTCTGTGCGGTTGCATTTCGTCGGAAGTTGTGCGCCGAACGCTGCGACAACAGATTTTTCTCCACGTCTCTCTTGCACTCTGTTGAACTGTTGAACTATCAGCGTCCCCATCACCGTTGACCCGCCATGGCATTGCTCAAACAAATTGCAAAACTCTAAAGTTTCCACATGTGTCTCCAGGAAGGGGCTGTGTCGAGCGAACCTTACCATGATGTCGCAGAAGTCGGTCTGATCTGTTTTTGTTGCCGGCATGTCATCTCCCCACCGCATTGTCTGCAGTCATGTGTCACAGTCCTTGACATATGGTTTGCCAGCATTGCTGACATCTGCTCTGACGCAGACACTCAGACAGACTGAGACAGATCATGAGTGCATCAGACAGGAAGAGCGAGAGCGACAGAGAGAGCGAGAGACGGACAGCGAACACCGAGTCACATGGTTCAGAGTCCGCAGTGGAAAAAGCAAAAAAGGGATTGTTCGGGCATGTTCGGGCTGGCATCGATCCAAGATGTTAGGTAGGCTCATCGACAACACCGCCACAAGGGTATTGTCAGCCACACTCGTACGCGAGTAAGTGCGAAAGCGAGAGTGAGAACATGCGATCACTGGTGGGCTGCAACATCGTGCAGCTTGATGGCGAGTTGAGAGAGCACGGACGTGCTTCCGGTGAGATTCGATCTCGAAAACTCCTGTATGGGCAGACTGATCTGTCTATATCTGCCGAGTCTGGGCTTCGTAGTCCTACAGCCGGTCGCTTTGGCTCTGACGAGTATCAACGGGAAGTGCGAAAGCCATTGCTGCATGCGACCCGGCGAGCTCTCCCCAAGGCATACTTGTAGTGGCTTTTCTGATGTGCTTGACGTTCCCAGATGCAGCTAACTGGTTGTCCATGTTCTGGTGTTCAGCTGCCGATGGCAGACTTGTTAAAACTCGCTCAGGCATCCTTCGACGTGCCAAGGCTTTCGTCGACAGTCGTCCGGTGGCACTAATGTTCACTACTCTGTGAAGCATGGAGAGCTGTGCTGGCTGCTTTGCCTTTGGTGCAAGCAGTACCGACACGAACAGTAGCCAGCACTGTTGTCCGAGCTCCGTCGTGCAGAAATGATCTCCAGTGGTTCGCTGCACCTTTTTGGAAAGCATGCCTTGATGGCGGGGTCCCTGGAATCGAAGTTCTCGCCCGAGGTTTGATTTTGCCTCCAAAGCACAAGAAGCGTCGACGACGTGCCTTGCTCGACAACTGTTAGTATTTTCGGAAGGGTCTACTCCTGAAGATGTGAGACAAGGGGAGGTACATGTGCTCGCAGGCATACAGTTGATCTTCAATAGTCTTGCTGATAGCGCGGGCTTGGCGCAGCAGAGTGGGATTCCGGGATGCAGGATGTTGGACGGTTGGGCCCAAGCATCTCACTGTCACTCTCTTTGTGACCGCCATCTGCCTCTATGCAGCACAGCTAGATAAGATCACAGGAACCACTCACCCAGGGGCCCCGAAGATTTGACCTCCTCGGCTGGCAGCCAATCTTGAAGCGACGGTGCTTGCAGGCTCAGAGAACCTCAAGCACCTCGGATTGCCAAGTTGCGCCAACATGAACCCATGCTGGGGATGTTGAGGTTTTGCATCAAAGATAGCTGACGTTCGGAGTTCGGGATGCCGGCTTTGCAGGGATGTCACGCACGGACCATTGTGCAAGGCTGAGGGGTGTTGGAGTCACGGGCTGATAGGCGGGATAACCAGGATCTGAGGTATCTGAGGTTCAGGATGTGGCAATCCGACTTTGCGCACATCCGAGTAGATCTGAAGAAACTTAGGACCACCGCAAGCCGTTACCCTGCCCCATCCGACCATCTGACCCTTTGACAGGAGGTGTATTTACATTCTGGTAAATTTCAGCTTAAGCAGCTACAGGGGAGATCTTCTTCATGTTCAGTTCTCGCACGCAAACAGAAGCCATGACTTCCGCCATTTCTTCAGGCTCATTAAAGGCTTCAGTTACACATACGGTCCCCTCAATGGTCGCTCACCTGGCCAGTCCAGAGATCTGAAGCATCCAGCTCCATGTGCCGGTACAGGCTGTCAAGAGCAGTAGCAGTTGAATCATGAACATCGCAAGCACACGGTAGTTGTCAGGTGCACGGTTTGCTTTGCTTAGACTCACAAGCTTGTCCAACTGTTCCACACCTTCAGCCCCGAACATTGACAGGCGGAGTAAAGTTCGCCACAAAGAGGTACGATACCTCTGCCTTCGAGGAAGCAAACATGCGAGCGCTCGCAGCCCAAGTCGAACAGGCGCCCCGAGCATCGCTTCCTTTGTTTGGGAACTCTATCAGTTACGTCGGGGGCGGTGACTCACCGGATAACGCAATGGCAGAGCTCAGTACATACCGTGCGCATAGTCTAAACGACCCCATCAGCTTTTTCAGGCAAGGCAGGGCTGACAAACGAAAAAGACATTCACTTCCGTTACGAGAACATGCCCACTGCGGCCCTAAGCAGGGTACCTCACCAGGTTTGCAAACACTTCAGAGCCGAAGATGCTGCAATTGATCAATCGCGCAAGCTGCAAAGTTCCAAATATCGAAGATACCGCCGAACAACCTCCAATATCATTCGCATCGCTTGATGGGCTTTCGTTCTGGATTCCGGGGGCCCCGAAGTGCCAGAAACATTGCACTGCCGGATTCTGCGCATTTTCGTCATTTCCAGCGCCTTGCAGGTATCAACTTTCAGCCTGATGCAAGTCCGCCGGGGCCCCGTTTCAGCCTTGCTTGGCCCTTTGACGAGCTCTCAGTTCCGCAGCACGGCAAAGGCGACCTGCACTACCGCATCCCGGACCCTGCCAATGTGGTGCCGCCGAGCTTCCAGCAGCCGCCGCTACTCCCGGGCACGCCTGCAGGATTCCTTGTGAGGAAGAAGCCTAGGTGTTTGTGAATTTTACAACAGAATCCCTTTGACGTAGCCCTGCTTGTCTTCGGCTTCTTACATCCAGTTCAGCCGCAGGCAAACAAGGGGGTTTGGCCCATACCAATCTAAAGGGTGCTATCTAGTCGAACCGCAGGAGTCACGTACTCCGTCTCCAATCCCGAGCTCACGGATGTGCATCGACCCGCAAGTCCCGATCCTTGGACAGCTTCTACGATTGTCAGCGATCCTGAGGCCGTGCGGACGTCAACCTTCTTCGCAAAATCTATCTTACAGGGGTGGATGAATGTGTTAAGCAGGATTCAATGTTGTGCCGACAAGTTTCACGAAGTAGGGAGTGGTACACTCGAGAATATCATGGCAAGAGGATATCATATAGGCAAGCACCCCTGGCATCATGGGCATTCCTTCGTGGTTGCGAATTTCGGGTAGTTGCCAGTGATGGTTTTTGTGTGCACTTCTGCCACGGTGGTTCCACCGATTGCAGCTCCCTCATTGAGGACTCCTTCACCACTACTGGCCGGCGCCAGGCATACACCGATCGGTGAGCGAAGCAGAGACACACCAGATACAACAATGTCCGTCTCAGGCCCCTGCACAGTACACGAGTAGCTCATTGCCTGCTCTGGTGAACCCCCTGCAAGCTTCTGAGCACCCAACAAAAGGTAACCCCACCAGGGCTATACAAGGGCGAGATTTAGGCCTTTTTTCAAGCTGCCTCTGCCGATGGCACATGGGCGCTTTTCAAGCCGTCTGGATCTGCCACACCAAAGCCCTACGTGAAGTCCTTGCAGTACGTCTTCAGCGGGTCTGTAGCGTAGGGGACAAGGCAGCCTGTCTGCGCATGGACTTTGTGGCTCTTGCCTCGATTCAATTTTGGGCTTCGTACCCCTCGCATCTGCCAAGCAGACATGGCCTGGGACCGTGGGCAGACATGATCTCAAACGCGACCCTTAAACAAGGGAAAGAGAGTTACTTACGGTTGCCTCACAACGGGACGGGTGCTTGGAAAAGTGAGCTTCATTGCAGCTTCCCCTGCCGCTTCCAATGGGCAACACTTTCAAAAGCCATCAAGCACATTCAAGCACATCGTCTACGTACCAAGCCCGGCGGAGGTCCTCCGTGCCACCGATGCATGTGGTTAGGCACCAGAGCAGAACTTGACCTTCCGTCCGCATCTCACATTTGTTTTGAACTTCGAGTTTTGATGAGTTTAGCTGTAACACCTTGTGCCGCTAGTCCCCCCTCCTTCCCGAACCCCTGATTGTAATGGGGCTTGAGGCTAAAGGGGCCAATTTTCAGCGACACCTCGAGACCACTCGACGCACGCCAAGAGAAAGCATTTTCTTGCCGTCCAAGATCGTCAACACGACACAAGTCGAAACAACCTCCGACAGAGACAAAGAGCCGAAATCCAAGCAACAGAGATAAGACACCAGCTCGAATTTCAGAGAAGAGCTAGCGGTATGACCTTCTGTGGCCAGGGTGGCAATGACGCATGGATGGAGCAATCCTGGGCACAGGGGGAGGGAATGGCATTCTGAGGCGAATGTTATTGTTGTCCTCTTCAGAAAGTCAGCAAACTGTGGACAGATGCAGACACTGTGAAGCCATCACGAAGGTCGGACCCATGCAGGCACACGACATGAATACACAACCTTGCTGAGCATGCTAAGGCCTTTAGGACTCTGAAGCCCTGAGGCCAGTAAGGTTCCAAGAATTGTTTCTCTGCAAAGATGCTGACATGCAGCCTGTTACAAGCGATGGTGAGAACTGCAAGTGTTTATTTCATGCGCATAAAAAACCCCTAAAGCCTCACAGTCTAGCATTCAGAGCTGTGGTCGTTACTCGGGTGTCGGTTTCATGCAAGACGTTTTCTATGCGCATAAAAAGGCACTTGAAAGTCGGGCACAGCACTCGGCCTGTAAGTCTTTGCATTCGAGTCTGTCGCCATGGCCTGACGGCGCAGCTTTCACAGCTGAGGGCTGAGGCATGTTAGAGACCGAACGTCCACCGACATGCTATGTCGGCTCGCGCAGCGAAGTGCTGCATACTTTGCACTTCGATAAATTTGAGCTTTGCGGAAGGAAGGGGACTTGGAAGCCACCACAATTCTGTCGGTGTTGCTTCTCGTGCTAGTCTTTCTACAGATTGAGCCAAGGGTCGAAGTGAGGTGCTTGACGCATGTTGAGGGGTCTTCGCCATGACAGCCTTGGTAAGGAGATTGCCGTAAACGTAGAGGCTCAAGCACGCATCTCAAGAAGGGCTTCCAGTTTCCATCGGCCGTGGCGAGTTCTGAAGTAGAGGTCCATCAGGATACCTCGGAGTAAAGCGTAGCGGCACCCTCGCACTCGCACCATCTCGCATCTCAACTTGCGAGGTGCCGCCTCGCCGATGATGCTGACATGGCAGATCGCTCCAGTTCGCGCAGTCATGCGCCCTTGCCTGTCGTTTCTTGAGTCTCTTCTCATGCCTTTCGCGAATCGCCAGGTCACAGAGGGCGAGCTCTTCATCCCCTTTTCGGTCCTCCCCGCGAAAGGACTGGTCGAACCTGGACCCTCCAATCCACGCTGCAACACGCAGCACTAAGAATGCCAGGCGAGAAGAAACCGTAGAAAGCCGGAAGCGTAGAGGCTTAGAGGATGTGCAGCAACGCTAAGAAACTGTTGTTCCATCTTCTATTTTTGTTCTCAGTGCCCGGGTGAAGCTCTTCGGCTCCTAGTCCTAGGCTTCAACAATTGCAGAATGCGGTAAGAATGGGCCATGCGTTGGCTTGGCCCTTCCCTCAATGCATCGCCGTAGACACATCCATATCCGTTATCCAAGCGAGTCGTCACAAAGAGATCGCGTCTCTTGCGCACCACCGTTTTCCACAACCACTCGAGTGCAATGGTGTTGAATAAAATCTTCGGAGCTCTTGTTGCCACCACCTTTTTTCAGCACCTTCTATCTCCCAGCGACATGGATCATGAACCCAACTTGCCCATTGCAGCCCGGAAGGACGGCTAACCCACACATTTCCTGACTCTGCACAGCTCTGTAAACAGTTGGCAAGTGGCACTTTCGATGAAGGATTCGGTGTGGCGTCGGAAGCTGCTGTGGGAATTCGGCTGCGGAAGGGCCCTGAGTTGCTCAGCACCTGCATCGCTCAGCTTTGGACGAGAACTGATAAGTCTGGTAAGTGTTGGCCCATGTTGTATGATTCCGCGGCGCTGCGCGCTCGGAGTGTCATGACGACCATGTCTTCTGGCAATGTCCACGTTGTGCCTCCATTGCTTTTCGGCTGTGCTCAATCGCTAGACCCGTAGTCATGGATGGCGCTGCAGCGCTGCATGTGATGTGCAGCGCGGGCTAGAACCCGGTTCACAGTACCGAAAGCCGAGTCCACTCGGGAAGCCAACGCCCATACTAGTTGGACAGTCGCACGCCCTAGTCCGCACAACGTCTTGATGCCAATAGACTATTCCAAGTTTGATGGCTGCGGCGAGGACGAGGCCTTGACCCGCCCGGAGCAGAAGCATTCCGCGAGGTTCTTCCACATTGGCGACAGTGTTTCAATCCTCACTGCAGTATCAGGATGGAGATGAGGACATCCTCGATCGAGGTCGGGGAGGGCTGGACACTAGCTTGGGGCTTGCAGCGCCGGTTTGCAACAGGACGTGGAGTGCAGTCCGATGGCTATGATGCAAACAGCTTACAACAAGCAGGGTGCAGGGGAAACTAGACGACAGCTACAGCCATGCGATGTAGTGTGTGCATCTGGGCTTCTACGAGGGCTTCTTGCCTCCTCATAGCTTACAGCCGCCAGTGACGTGAGGAGATTGGCAGAAGCTGCTTGAGCTCGTGAGAGCGGAGGCGGAGGCTCCGGATGCCCGGGGCCCAAGCCGAGCGAAGCGAAGCAGCGTCCAAGAGCCTAAGAGCTGAGTTTTCCTCAGCGGTGCTCATCAGGAGTTTGTGGTCCTGTCAAACTCTGCTCAATGCTCCCTCAAAGGTGTTTCAGTTTCTAACATTCCCACCTGAGCCCACTTGGTGCACCAACGTCCACTCCAAGCGGGCGACGTGTCGGAGCAGTGTACAACGGCAACACAATCATTCCAGCCTGAAGATGCGACATGTTCGGTTGGGCTTGGGAGTCGAGCTGATCCAGGCCCGCGACACCGACCCTCGCCGGCGGACTGGCTTGCCCGATGCCGAGAGCGGAGTCCGGGCTTCGGGATTCCTTCGCAATTACCGGCTTTGCAGGATGGGGCCTGCAACGTTTGAGCCGATGTGCAGGTAGCTTGAGCTGGAGTGCAAAGAAGACCTTGGGAGATCTTGAGATGCAGCCAAGCTGAACTTCACAAGACATGCGCCCATCCAAATGCTATGCTTTGCCAGGAACCCCAAGTCAAGTCCCGGACCTCAGGGTTTGGCCAGGTTCGAGGATGATTTCGATTTCGGCGCCGAGCTGGGCTACGATCTCGGCTGCGACTTGGGCGTCGAGCAGCCAGGCCTGGGCGCAGGGTCAAAAACTTTTTGTTGTCCCTGCTCCGCAAACCCAGGCTGCCTTCACCCTCCTGCAGCAGAGACTTAGAGAGCGCTCACATGTTCTTCCTGTATCTTCTCGGCTGAATTCAGCGTTGCTCCTGCAAACGCCGGCAGACATGGAAGATGTGTCGGTCAGCTTGGATTTCGACACATTGCGGGAGGAGGCGGCTTGCACCTGCATTTGAGCATTCCGAACCGGCGTTTGTTGGAGTGCCGGTGCTTGCTTACCTGCGCTGCGTGCAAATGTCTATCTCGCGATTTGTCAAGTGCCTGAAAGTACCGGCACGTCGTCTGCAACCCAAACCAACTTCACGGAACCGCATTAATCCTCTATCTGCTGGTGTGCGACTTGGGATTGTTTCATGTCGCATGAACCAATACATACCAATATGTCAGCGAGCAGTATCCAGCTGGCGGCGTCAGTGTCCAATGGTACCGAGGGCACACGTGGGAGTGAATGGATCTTTCGGAACGATAATAACAGTGTTTCGGCCCTTCGCCCAGAAACACATTCCAACAGACGTTAGCAAAGTTGGCATATGCAGGAGGTTCGGTTTTGCATTTTGTGGGTGATCGCAGTTGTGCTGCGAATAGCTGCGACGAAATGGTGCGAAGACGAGCTAGTTTTGGACGGGCAAAAGTTGAAGTGGAGGATGCATTGGGATGCGACATTGCAGGTCTTGGTCTAGAGCCGGCATCAAATTTGGCGTACCAGGCTTGGCAGCTTCTCTGGAAGCGCCTGTTGTCCCCGCGCACCGCAGCACTGGGCGCACAGTCGGTGCAGCGGGCACTGCTCCTGGAGGCAGTGATTCTTCCGTCCGGTCTGGAAGATTGGTAAGACCGGCAAGACTCATTATGCAAGGATTGGGCTGGCAACTTGAATTAGGGTTCGAGATGTTCTCTGGGCTCGCCTCTGTTTTAGGCACGAGGCCCTTCTGGTACTAGTAGCACTGTGTGAGCTTCTTTCTGTCAACACATCAACTCGAAACCATGGAGAAGGAGGGCCACCAGCCAGCAGCTATGCAATGACAGAGCCGACAAGACTGGCAAGCAAAGGCATCACCCGATTCGATAAAGACTCACCATGCGGGCGGATCCTGCTGACCAGTTGCGAGGCGGAGCTGCTGCTTCGCCAAAGAAAGCACCACGAGGCAGAGATTGCAAGCGCGTGTCCAAAGACCTTAGCTCTCTTGGCTCCACATATGTCAAGCTGAACGCTGTGCCAGCAAGGCGGTTCAGAGACCCGGCTTGAGACTCTCTTGTGCTTGTGCCGGAAGCATAGACCTGAGCCAAAGTGAGAGGCCTTTCTCGCTGCCTGGGCGCTGCGCTTCAGTTCAGGCGACGAGGCGCAGGCACGGCCCAGGATCTGCAAGGGGGTCATAGGGACACTCACTCTGGCACTCTGGGGTCTCGAGCGAATGCGTGACTGCGACGTGCGACTCTGCAGTCTCAGCTCGCCTCGCAAAGACAAGTTGCGAAAGCGAACTTGATGGGTGCCAGGCTCCCCAGATCCGAACGTTCACTTTAACCCGCTTGATTCATCAAGTACTGTTTCCGAAATTCGGTCAACACTTACCATGAGCTTCTTTCAGCCATTGTCAGCGCTAAGAAGCCCTTCCAACGCTTTCCAGCTACTGCAGCCAAAATGCCTGCTAGTTCTGCCCACATACATCCACATTACCACCGCTTGCGCAGCCTTGCTGGACTTTCAGGTGCCCTCACTCGCGGCTGAGCTGCCGCAACTTGTTCCTGTGCCTCAGCTTTGCCAGGTGAAGGGTGGAGTTACGAGGTTACCTGCTATGACTTCACTGCCGTGTAGGAGGTCTTGACAATTACCGGTGCCATCATGCAGCAGTAAGAGTCTACTAGCGATCGCTGGCTCGGCGTTCTTGCGAGCCAGCTTTGCCAGTGATCGTGATGGAAGACCATACCGCTCCAACTTGTGCAAGTCAAGCAGCGACGAGCTTGAACCCCTAACGCTAGTTGCAGCTGTGCAGGAGGGGAGGCGTGAAGAGTGGCTGGCGTGGTGTGCTGTAAATGCCCTCCCCCCTATCCGGGCTCCTCCTGTATGTGCATAGGAAAAAGAGCCGGTAAAGAAAAGAACAAGCTGCTCCCTGGCGAAACCACAGTGAAGTGGCAAGAACAAATGACCAGCGAAATGAGCTCAGCAGGAACTCCGAAAGAAACCGCAACTGACTTCAACAGTGCAGATGAGACTGAAGCTGTAATGCCTGTCTTCTTGGTGTGGGGTCTTGCGGCTGCAGCTGGAATTCAGATGTCGTCGGAGGCAGCACCTGTTCCGCCGGAGTGCTGGTTAGCTTCCTGTGCCGTCATCGAGATGGTTTGCCGGAGCCTTTGAGTCTACGGCCTTATGTGCTTGATTTTTCCAGACTTCTAGATTCTAGACCTAACCCCTCATGCAGTCATGACAGGAGGCCGACATCTGGGCATGTCTCAGCAGTTTGTAGCGCGGTGATGTAGCTTGAGCGGTCTTTCCTATCCAAGAATGCAATCTTTGCTGCAGCTGCTTCAGAAGCGTCAAAGGTTCTAAAGCCTCAGGTGGTGGCTTTGCAACCCCCCGAAGCGGGGTTGCCGCACGAGGAATGATAGGAGTTGAGCGGTGCTCAGGTGCTTATCAACTCGGTGACCGTGAACATGCAGTGGTCTTACGCTGCTCGGTCCACTGAGAAACATAGCTCTGCCACAGCTAGCGCATCCGATTAGCACAGCAGAAGGACTCTGCCGCAAGGCTGTGATAGGCTGTGCAAATCTACACCTCTTAATTTCCTGTGCATGATGCATGTAGATATCGACATAGTGGCTTTGCTCGTGGCTTTTGTTCTTCGCTGGATTGATTCAAGAGTACATCGCGGACAAGCTGCCCTTTCTTCACATGACAATCAAATGTCTTTTGACTGCGAATGCCGAGCTACTACGCAACAAGAGCCAGAAACCTGCCAGCAAAGCACACCCAAGGAGAAGCGCTCCTGCAAGCAGACCGCAGCTTACTCTCAAGGTGCGGCTGTGGACCATGATTGACCGTTGCAGGGTCGGCGAGCACGGCACAACCTCAGAACCCTGAAAAGACTCCTAAAGCGACAGCAGCAGTCCATGTGGTTTTCGCGAGTCTTTGCTTTCTTCAGATGGTCTCACAAGCCTTACCTTACCCCCACCCGAGCCCCCTCCTCTCCATTACTCTGCGGCCCCCCCGCCCAACACCGAGCAGCTCGGTGCACCCCATCGTCCGAGTGGCGCTGTCGCAGAGAGGGGATCTGCCGAGAGCGCAAGCTCTTGAGTGCCTCTAGCAGCACATCCCCTCTTCAGCATCTCCACGTTTCCCAAGCTGACCCGGGCCTCCATGTAACTTTTGGGGCGAGACTCCATCAGAGTCATGTTCAATGTCGCTGCGGCATTTGCTGTTGGTTTGCAGGCAAGGCCATGCTGTCTTCATTGGGTACATAGGCATCGAGCAGTTTCAAGTCTCCGAAGACCAACGCTGCGAAACCCGAAGGCATGGCTGCTTTGGAGACTTGAATTAACCCCACTGTCCGAACAGGCACCTTCAGAAACGCTTCGAAGGGACGGCGGAGGCAAGCTCTTTCATTGCAAAGCCGTTCAATGACCCCTCTCTCTCTCTCTCTCTCTCTCTCTCTCTCTCCGTCTCGAGCTCTCTTGCTCTGACCCTCTCGCCCTCTGAGCTGGGGTCTGAACTTTGGACGCATTGCACAAGCCAAGGTCTTGGACTTCGTCCCTCAGTTCTTGAGCCTGCTGCAGGCAGCGGGGTGTCTTGCGGCTCTCCGCTACGGGGCCGACGCCGGCCTCATGGTTCTTCCGGTCTCTGCCTCCAATTGCGGCCAGGATCAGGATCACCGGGCCACGGGCAAGCTCTGACGGCAGGGCGTTTGAGGGTTCAGAAAAAAGGGGCGCACCACGAATTGCTTTGAGAGGAGAGCTGAAAGAGGGAGAGTCCCAAGAAAACCAACTCAGGAGCGTCGAAGGTCTTCCGGACATCGGCTCCACGAGGCGATCGAGCCGCTTGTGTTCACTGCGTCACTACGCCTCCATGAAACAGATCGCTCTCGGTCTCGTTCGGCTTGGTAGACTGTTCAGGTTGGTCATCGGCTTTCGCTTTGGTACCCTTGCTGCTCGGTCGCAGTGGCTGAGGTCGTACTCTGACCAAAGCCCGACGAGGAAGGTCATTGTCCTCTTGATCTGAGATTGCCGTGAACACCATTTCCTTTCCTCGCCATTAGTTTCAATTGGCCGGTATGCGTCGAAGCTAGCAGCACGATCTTTGTGTTGCAGATGCGCAGTGAGTCATCCCAGGTCTCGGAGAACCGCGTCGGCAAGGGGAAGGAGGTGAGGGCATGCCCAGCGGAGCACATGTCTGAAGAATAAAGAAGTACACCGACCTTAAGCTCCTGCTTTTTTAAAACCCTGTTTGCTGCGCCCCGTGTGAGATCAGCGTCAAGACCCAGCTGGGCCTGGTTTGCCAAGACAGTGCCTGGGTTCCAGAGGCGGGCCGAAGGGTGTCAGTGCTCGTTCTGGGATTCTGTGGGATTCTGGATGCAGAGGTTTTGCCCAGTCCAGTTTGAAGGAGAGCTTGATTCAAGAAGCGCTGCCGCATGGAGATGTGAAGCAACTTGGGCGCTATCGAAACAGCAGCTGGCCAGGTTCCTCAATACATGGCAGTTGGGGACCCGATCCTAGCAAGAAGTTATGCGTCGACATGCCATGTGGGCGGCCGCTAGCTGCCTTCAGCTTTTCGGAGCCATCGCTCGGGTTGAAACACGGAAGCCAGGCCACGCAGAGCAGCGGCCTGGCCAGGGTCCCAAAATGCCACTACCGGTTCCTACACCCAAGCACTGCTCAAAAGCAATTTGGAGTTTGGTCTGACTGAGCTGGGCTCGGCCGACTCAATTGCAGAACAAGGACGCATGGCAGCAGGTACCCTTGTCTTAGCGCAGCATTCAGGAGAGTGGTACTTGTCTACTCTTATGACTCCGTCAATCTGGGCACTTATTGCAGACGTCGGTGTTTTGCTGGGATTCGGGTGGGTTGTCAACCTTCCCGTGAAGCAGTTCGCCAAAGTACTCATGGAAAACTTCAGGGTTCCAGACATAGTAGATCTACGAATCGCAGGCATGCTGTAACACACCTTTCGAGTCGGCATGGTTCCCAGCCGAAAGGCTCTTTCGCTGCAAGTGCAAGCTGCCTCAAACTATACGCGGCCGCAGATCTACCGCTGGCAAGTGTGCAGTTAAGGTTCGGGTCGTGCTGCCTCCACCTCTCTTGGACCTCGCTTCCAAGGGCATCTCCTGCAGGCTCAAGGTACAGCCCTGCCCAGTTGATCGCATCCAGTTTCAGTGCATGTATGACACCATCACCAGACTGCGGCACGGGACACTGCCTGTGTATGCACGCACAGATCTGATGCTGTAGGATCAGGGGTGTACGACAGTTCAGGATTTTCGCGCAAGATTCACTAGATCTGTTCTGTAATTACGCACATGGTTCGACATGCCGTCTGTGTGTACTGTTTCATGCAATGCAACAAAGCACGTCAGGGTTCAAGTTATGAGTCCCGATGCGCGGTGTCATGCAACATATTTAGGAGCATGTCGTGAGTGCATTCTTTGCAAGATTCTTTAAGTACTCTTACTTGAATGTACCGGTTCCGGGGACCTTTAGCCCAATGCTGTCTAATGTTCAGACATGAGATGCATTTCGGTTTCAGATTAAACTAGTGCATTCGAGTTTGATTCACTGTAGTGTCGTGTGAAAGCGTGTAGTGAGTCAGTAGTGAGTCACTCTGATCTGCTGCGCTCAGCCAGGGAATAGTGTCTAATGCTAATGTGAATCCGACCATATGTTGGGTTCGTGTAGTTCCTTTGCAACTTAACTAAACCGTGTGCATTGGCGGATGCCGTCCTTCACAATCGCAATGGAACTGCAGAGCCTACACAAGTTGCCTGTGCGCTTTGCTGTCCCGTCTTGTACATCTGCGTGTGAACACTGAGCCCGCCGTCTGTCATGCCCTCCGGCGAATATAGCTTCCGGCCGAAACTGTGTTTGGCTTCAGTTGCCCGCATGGGGCGTGAATGCTGTTGTGGGCCGGTCTCTGCAGCGAGAGCCCTTGTCCGGGGCCCAGCAGAAGAGCGCATCATGTCAAATGTCATGTTGCAAATTCACGAATACTTCCGTCGCTTCACTGTGGCCCTAAGTGGTCACACGTACATAAGTGACCGCAGGTGTTTTCGGTAGCCAGGTTTGTGTGGAATGGACTCTTAACCCACGCCTGCCAGCAAAAGTCAAGAAAGTGCAGATATGCTTGTGAAAATGAGTTTCAGGGGCCATGTAGCCTTGGAACTTAAGGCGTCGCACGTTTTCTCTACACAGATCCTGAATGTGATTCTCCGAGGCAGGTCTACGCCTACGCTGTGTTGACTTTTGCTGGCAGCATGGGTTCAAACCCCAATTTTTTCCTTCCTTATCATCCTGGCATCGCCAAACCCAAGCACTGTCTTGACTTTTGCTGGCAGGCGTGGCTTCAAAAGCCCATTTTTCAGACAAAGTTGGCGTGCCAGAACGAAATCAGCATTTCCGCCCACCCCCACTCCCCACCCCCCTTCCCCAAGTAAGTTTAGTAAAGTCGCATCCTGGCAGCGAATGGAATCCTCAGCGGAAGCCTCCAAAGCGCAAAACCTGCACAACAGCGCGCGGCCAGTTACGGACGTGTGTGGCCCGAAGTGCACAAGCAGCATGGTTGGAAGGAGCAGAAAAATGAAGCATCAGTTCAACTTTTTTTCACACACCTCCTCTGCTCGGAAGCCCTGCAGTGGAGTCGCTTGCGCTTGACCAACGCTTGACCAAGGCATGCCGTGCACGGCCCAAAGCCGTGGCTTCCTTGGGGCATGCCGCGGCGCCGCGGCTTTTCTTCGCCCTCGCCTCGCTCCTACGTCTCTGTGAGACGCATCAGCCATAGGTTGGAAATGCAGCTTCACGAAAGGGTTTGTGAGTTGTCACAGAGAAGGCGAGAATAGTTCTGGATGCTCGCCTGAATCAGCAGGATGGATTCCCAAAGTAGATGCCGTCATCTGCCGTCCGGTGCGTGGCACATGCCCAGCCGTTCGACAGTGTCCACCTTCTGCACGTGGCGTGCTGTGCTCGTAGGACGCACCCTATTATCATCATTATTAGTATTCTGATGATCATGATGATGATTATTGTACATTATTTCACACTGTTGTTTTTAATTTATATTATGTTGTTATTTTTATTGTTATCATTATTATTATTGTTGTTATCATTATTATTGTTATCATTAGTCTTGCTATTATTGCTATTGTTGTTATTATTGCTGTCATTATCATTATTGTCATAATTGTTGTTATTATTGCCAAGAATGCATTGGGCTTCATGGCCCCATGGTTCGCATGAGGCTCTTTGTGGGTCTCAGCTTGATCGGACCCTCAAATCTACAACGTACTTTCAGCCATGTGCTGTACGCAGAAGACAAGATGCTAGAGATCACATGTCAGCCTCGAACCTTTCTCTGCCATTTGCTGGTTAAGCCGCGTGTGACCCGAAGCCCAAACCGGCCACGCCGAGGTCTCAGCACTCGTCCCAGCGGCCTGGGGCCAGGTGACGGGAATTCAGTGGAGCCGTGGATAGCCGGGTCGTCTACGTAACCGGCCTGCCGCCTGCCGCTTCCTGTCCTGGTTGTGCTTGTGCCCACATTGGGCGCGCGTCGCCAGGTCCCGAGCGTCAGTGTGACGTCTTTGTCCTTCGCGGACAAGGTGACAAGGGACGAGCATCAGCTTCGCAGTAGGCGACACGAAGTGCCATGGTGGTCGACAGAATCCTGCATCCGTGGGGCTGCATCCTGCTTCTTCTAGGACTCAGATAACAAGACTTGTTGGAAATCACACTGATGAGATATTCATGCCTACATTCGTTGATCCTCGTCCCCAGAACTCCCGATGACAGAAACCACAAAGTGGCTCAACCCACCAGGATCTGGATGCCAACGAGCTTGGAGGCCCAGTCACTTGGCAGCCGCCCGGGAGCACCGCCACAGCCGGGAGGCTCAGAAAGGATTGTCGGAGAGAGTCCCACTGTTTTTGAAACTCCGACATCTCCGACACCAATAGCTGCGCCGTTTCTTTCAACCACCTCTCGCGATGCACATTCGTCAAAGTCGAGTTAATCACAGGGCAAGCAAAATCAAAAGCCAGACTACCAAGCTCAGGTCACCCACTACGATGTATACGTGGCGACCGACTCTGCGGGAACCGCTCGATCTGCTGCCGTGGGCTTGGGCCAAGGTCCTGCATTCCAGCTTACTGGTCGCTGTGTAGCGGATTTTGTTTCTAAGTTCATCCAGCTTCATTGTCATCAAAGCCCCGAACCTCCGTTGCCATCACCGAAGAACTGCAAAGAGATACACCTTTGAACGACCATTGATTGGTACGCTCTCCTGGCCAGAAAGTGAACTCCGTCCTCGTGTGTTCTCCGTTCGTCACAGAAGCCTGCGGACTATGATGACTGTGCAGCGCAAGGTGATGGCGTGGACGTTCAGTGAAGGAATCGAAGCTCAAGATTGCACAACTCCAACAAAGAGCTAAACGGAGTTTGGAGTTCTTCTTCTGTAAGTTTGCACGCGTCTCAACATCTTGGCCTGGGCCTGTGTACACGTGCTTCTTCTGCGCGCGTAGATTGAATGTTCTTGCCTCAAGATCCCCGGTAGCCAAGTTGTTTTCTACACTGCAAACTCTTCGGAACAGCAATGCTGATAGCTTGTCCTGACAAGCTAGCGAAAACGATGAGATCGTGGCAGCGGGCGTAAACGAGGGCAACGAGGGACAGAGCCTGTGCAAGTGCGATGGTATCGTTGGCAGTCAGGAGCCAGCGAAAACTGCAACTTCGGTCATCCAACCTCCTGCAATGCATGCGACCCGCTCGCGCGCATGCGCGCCCGTCTCTTTCTCTCTCTCTCTCTCTGTGGGTGGGTGTGCGCTTGTTTGGTCTATGTCATGTATGCATGCATGTGCGCATGTGTGATCATGTGTGTATGTGTGCATGCGCACCTATGGGAATGTTGAAGTAAGTAGCGTGCGCAAGTTGCGTGAATGCGTATGTTCGTTCCAAATACATCTGTATGTCTAGCAGCGGACATAGATATACATGCAGACCTTGATGCAGATGTTTGTTTCGTCTCCGTACCTGTCTATACCTGTGTTTCGCTGCTGTGAGACTAAGGTCAGCCTTAATGTGCCTGTTGGCACGAACTCGGCTACGGTGGCTGACAATACAGCACTGGGCTCGTGCGCAAGAGTCAGCAGTGGTCCTGGTAAGACTAATTTGCAAGTTCAGGGGTCGCAGCTTGGCATCCGTGCGCAAGGGCTCGAGCGTGAACGGAAGAGGTGGAATGTAGAATGTAGAATTGAGGCATCGCTTAGATTTGCATTTTTCTGCTTCCTCCCGCTCAATCAGAAGCCTAGCAAATTGGTGAATTGCCTACCGCTATCGTCAAAGCGTCGAGCCATCCGGCACTGCGTCCGTGCAGTTGCAGTGCGTAGTTTATCAAAGACATGGGATGTTGCAGCAGGTACTCACATCTCCTGGTGTACACGGCTAACGGGAACGGCCAGCAGGCAGATTTTCGTGGGAGGCTACAAACTTCGATGCCCCGTCCCGGCCCGTCCCTCTTCTGGGCTCCGAGGCTGCAGGGTTTGTGCTGTACCTTGCTGAAGCTGGTGATGCGCAAAGTAGCTGGAGCCCTCACTAATACGCAGAAGCCGACTATGGGATGCGCCATGCTTCCAAGACTCGCAGCATATAGCATATGGTCATCCCGCTTGTTGCAGTGACAGAAGGGGATATCTGCGACTCCTCAGCCTGCAAAGCCGCAAGAGGTCGCTAAACGAACAAGGGAATAGATGCCATTACTACTAGCGAGAAACTCCCGATTGTGGAATGCAGTAAGTCCAGGTGTCCTGAGCATGTTCATCACAGGCTTCTGATGCTTCATGCGAAGGCAGCGCCCAGCTCTGCAGCGTTCTCCGACTCGGATGCTTCGGTGTCCTCTCTGGCGCGCACGGGCGAATCGGGGGAGAGCGCTTGTTGTTAAGTCAAGCCCAGTGCCTCAAAGATGGATTAGGATTGCGGAACTGGTGCAATCCGGTGCAGAAGAAACTTGCACTGCGAGGGTGTCCGCATGCCTGGTAGCGACTGAGAGCATTTCCTTGGAAGAGGCATTGACAAGCTCCGCCCGACAACTGTAGAGTGCGAAAGTCTTGCAGACCCCTTGGTTCTTTAAGGGTGTTCATAATCAAGGTACATGTACATGCCTGCAGCAGCGCGGATGAAAACCTCAACCCATGGTCAGGTAATTTCACCCCGAGTCATGTTCACCTGTCGTCCCGTTTCACTTCTTATTCGACAGCGACAACACTGCATCAGTGTGTGCCTGCAGTAGTTCCGTGGATCCGTGGGATTGGAAGCTGACGGCTCTTCAGTGCCACAGGCTTTTGAAGATCTGGACTTGGACAACGTAGCCATCGGAGGAGATGTAACGTGAGCCGCTGAGCCCACCTTGCTGAACCCCGGATCCGTCGCGCCTGCCACACCCTACCCAACCCCTTCCTTTCATCTAACAGCATGTGGGACCTCTGCAACAGAGTTGCATCCTCTGGCGACCTTGGCTTGATCTAATCTCATGCTGTCGGGGGCGGCGAGAAGACAGCTCAGCCAAAAACCAGACAGAGCACATTCTCCCAGCATATCTTCCCCGAGGTGGACACCACCGGGAGATGTGTCACAAACTTCGCACTACGACCCCCGACTGCATCTTGGAGTTTCTTGAGGATTGCTGCAGATGCAGTTGACCTGCTGATAGGATGTTATGTGACTGCGGACAGCAAGAGCTTCAGGTCGTGTACCTGAGCACAGACACAGCCGGCACTTCACGAACGCAGGCAAGGGGCTTGAGATTTCAGCGATCAGTCTGTCATATCCGCTGCTCTGCTTCGGCCTACTTCTCTCTACGCTTGAACAAAGGAACAGCATGTTGTGCTTGTCGGAAGCCCGCAGGGCTGGCGATTAGCGTTTTAAGAAAATGGAAGGAAGGAGAGCGATGAGCGAAGCGCGTGGCGCTGAAGAGAAGAAGAGCGATGCGCATCGATGCAGCGACGAGTCCAAGTGCTCCCCCAAGGTAGGCACAGCCACTGCGGGGGCTTGGCTTCCTTCGGACTCTGCCGGACCGGCCAACGGCCACCTCTTTGTGCTGCTGGAACATGCTCGCAGCCTCACCTATCGACGAGCGCAGTGCCTGTCGTAGTTGTTCGATAGAGTTAGAAGGCCGAGCAGAAAGTTGGCATGCTCAGTCGCACAGGCCTGCGCGACAAAATTACAGACTGGAGTGTCTTACTGAGGTTGGCTCGAACACCTTCGCCATCCCTGTCGACACCTTGCGATTTCCATACCAGCAGGCGGGGTCCGAGTCCGAACCTTCCATCTGCACTTTGTTTGAGTTCCGCTAAATTAATCATAAACCTTAGGCCGTTCCTCGAAAGCAGACTAGAACAGACTTGTTGGAAAGCCTGGTGTTGATCTCCTGTGTCGCTGTGACGTTCACATTGTTGCAGGCCTTCTCCTCGTATTCTGTGCATGTTTGCCTCTGCCAGTTTAAGGCGGAAAGCCATCTTGATGTAGACGTAGCCGCCAGCGCCATAATACAATTGCCCCGAAGATTCACGTGCACACCGCCTCCTCTTTCGCGGAGCAGAGCACGCCCACGTTGCTGGGCTCGGTCAGCATTTTGAGATCTGGGTGTTGCAAGTGTTGCATCCCTGCCAAGATCTTTGACCTTGTGCAAGAGCATTCGAGAAGACTCCATATGTCAAGAGAACCAGCTTCAAGCCAGAAACCACCCAGGACCCATATATTTACGGACAACTTCGCGCTGGTCACCAGTATCCAGCA